CATCTCAAATTTTGGGGCTTTTTTGTTCCCAGGCTCTAATCATCGCAATTTTTTGTAAACCATCCTTATTTGATATAAGTATAAACATATAAATGTTTGGAGTTTGCTCCATGTCTGGAAGTTAGCTATCTCAAACACCAAAAAATGCTGGATCCGCCCCTGATATATATAAAACATATATATCTAAATTTAAAAAAAAATATTATCATTTAATAGGATTTTCCCAAAAAAAAACTTTTTTGAACAGTATATGCTTAATGTGTTTTATATAATAAAAAACAACTTGTTTTTAAAAATTTTTGAAAAAAAAAAATAGTTTGATGACTCCCTCAAGACCCTTATTTTTTTTAGTAATTATTAGGAGCTTAACCAGTTCCTAATAATTTAAAAAAAATTATATAAGTGTATTATGTATAAATTATATCATAATGGGTCTCAAGTGAAGCAAAATTATATGAAAATTTCAAAAAAAATATTGCCAAAAATTGGTAATAATGGACATTTTTCTTTTTTAGTTAATAAAATTCATTTTTTATGGTGTTAAATCTATGCATTTAAACAGTTTATATATGCAGTGCCGGATCAAGGGGGTTAAGGGGGACTATAGCCCCGGGCCCCGCAAATTTAGGGGCCCCCAAAAAATTTAGAGGACTTTTTTTTTTTTTTTTTTAAAGTTTTTTTAAGGCCTCCAAAAACAAAAATAGCATCAGGCCACAAGAAGTCTTAATCCTCCACTGTATATATGCAAATATATGCACTAATACGGTTATAAAAAAATACTTGCATCATAACAAGCAGATCTTTATTCACTTATTTCTTTATATTACTTGCTAAAAATTTTACTGCGAAAAAATACTTGCATTTCAGGTAAAAAAAACTTTTTTTTAAAAATTTTTGAATAAAAAATATTTTGATGACTCCCTCATAACCCTTAGGAACTTGTTATGCTTTATTTATTTAGGAACTTATTATGTTTTATTTGAGTGTATCATGTTGAGTCTTAAATGAAGCAAAATCATATGAAAATTTTTAATGTTAGATTTAACACCATAAAAAATGAATTTTAGTAACTAAAAAAGAAAAATGTCCATTTTTACCAATATTTTATTCATATTTGAAATTTTCATTATTTCGCTTAATTTGAGCCGAAATTTCAAAATACACTTTTGAAGATTTTTTTAATTGATAATAATAGGAACTCTTTATAAATAAACAATATAAATAATACAAATATATATATATATATATATATATATATATATATATATATATATATATATATATATATATATATATACATATATATATATAATATATATATATATATATATATATATATATATATATATATATATATATATATATATATATATATATATATATATATACATATATACATGCATACAAATATATAATATATGTGTGTGTACTATAATACACACATTATATGTGTGTGTATATATTATATACACACACATATAGTGTGTATATATATACATATATTATATGTGTATATATATATATATATATATATATATATATATATATATATATATATATATATATATATACACATATAATATATGTATATATATATATTAGTAAATACTCATAAGATTATAAACAATTTTTTATATTGAAAAAAAGTTGAAGCAGTGACCAGAAAAATATCATAAAATAAATAAAGAACATATTTATCTGAAGTTTAAAAAAAAATTATCGAAATCCTACAGTCAGATTCCAAGAAAATTGATTTCAAATAAATAAACAAATCTATGAGTTACACTAAAAAATTGATAATTTAAAATAAAGTTTAAGTACTCTAAGATCTTTTTTACCTTTTTTTGATTTATATTTTTGTGAAATTTTTGTAATAATATACTGAACTACATTAAAAATAAGGCTACAATACTGAGTTTTCAGAAATCAAATAATAAATAGACGGTTGCCATATAAAATATGCTCTGTAGTTAAGAACCGTAGCCATTTTAAAAGTTTAAAATATTTTCGCATTTTTTCACGCATGCGTACCTAAACATAGCGCCGTGCTGGATCTCTTGCTTCGAAAGCAAGCACTCTTACCACTGCGCCACGGCCGCATCATTTAAGTTGTTCTTTGTCTTTAGCTTTTACTTCTCCAGGAAGATTTTTCATGGTTTACTGTTCGTTTTACGTTTTTAAGTTGTTTTTTTTAACCTTATTTAAGTTGCACGCTAATTCTAAAAATGTTTACTTTTCCAAATAAAGCTAAAGCAGGAAACAAGAAGAAAAAAAAGAGACGTACGAAAAATATTTACTATTTAAAAAAGTACTCAAAAAATATTTCAGTTTTTAACCGAAGCGTTTTAAAATTTTTTAAAGATATATCACGAATTATTTTTTTATTTATAACTTTAAAAGGTTGGCAACATTTATAGTTTTTCTATTGCTTAGTAAAAAAATATTGAAGTAAAGTATAAGTATAGAATTTAATTATAATGGTTTCAATGTAATGAAATAATCATTAAATATACACTACATTATGTTTTATTAGTTTTTGTTCGAGAATAATCTTAAACTTGTTATTAAGCTAAGACGCAATTATTAGCCTCTGACCGTTTGTTTGTTTTTTTGTAAGCAAATATTTTAAAAGTTTTAACAACCAAATTCAAAAGTTGCTTGTTTTAAGTTATGAAACCCATAAAAATGAAAACTGTCTATAATAGTATTTTTACTTAAGCTTTTAGCTAAAGTACAAATACCGACGATTTTTGCGACGGAATTTATTTGAGAATAAAGTAATTGATAATTTAACAATTACAAAGCTATTTTTAACATAAAAATTTACAAGTTTACAAAGATTATTTTTTATTGCAAAATTTTGCATTATTATCTTGTATGAAATTAAAATATATAATATATAGCTGTAGTTTATCAAAATAGTTTCAAGCCCTCAACCTATCTAAACATCAAAAAGTTATAAATTATCAAATGCAGCAACTTGCATTTGTAAGAACTTGTTAAATTGTATTAGTTATATATTAAAAATAGGAACTTATTACTTTAAAACGCTCAAGCATATTGTATTAAGGTACTAAATAGAAAGGGGTTCTCCCTAAGTCAATGTTACCCTCAAGGCCGGGGCGATAGGCGGTTGTGGGGTGTGTGACATTCCCCCCCCCCCCCCTCGTCAATAATTTTTTTGTTCATTTAGTGGACAAATTTGACCCTTTTTGACTAGTTAGTCGGCAAATGTAGGCTCTTTCGACAAGTTAGTCGGTAAATTCAGACAGTTAGTCGGCAAACGTCGTTATGGCAATTGGGTGGCAGTGGGCAAATTTTGAAAAAACCAGAACCATTTTTTTTTTTTTAGTCGGCAAAAGTTGTAATGGTACCCCCCCCGTGACACCTACTCGCGCCGGCCCTGGTTACCCCTATAAATCTATCTCCAATATCTTTTTCCGTAAACAGTGCTTTGTAACTTATCACAGTTGTTTTGAAAAGTTTTCTATGTACAGAAAATTCGAAAACATCCATATCCACCTCTGAGAACTTAATAAGTTGTTCTTCGTTGATTTTACTTCAGTGCAATTTTTATAAATATCAATTTAATCGATCAATTTAATAATGATTTTAGCGTCAGTGTTATTTTTATGAAATTTTTCTAATAGTTGTACTAGCTTAAACTTTTTATTGAAAGCTATTAAAACTCCCTTTATTTATTATATTTGCTGCAAAGTAGTGCTTGTAGAATGCAATATTTTGCAGAATGGATTGTAAACAATTCAGGTAGAGGAAGAGTAAGTCAGTTTTTTAGTGAATATTTAAATGCATTTTTCTTACAACTATTAGCTGTTTGAAAACATGGTGTGGGTTATCGAGTCATTTACTTAAACAAATTTTTATTAATAAATTTTTTTTATTAATAAAAATCAATAAAATGATTATCAGACTAAAAGTCAAAATTTCTTACCTGAACTTCAAACCATAATGCATTTCAATATGTTTTACCAACACTTGTACAATGTGTTTAAATTTTTTCCACCTCGATTATTATTAACCAAAGCTTGTACAATGCCTTTTAAATTCTGCCTCTCTCAATTATTTTTTATCAACACTTGTACAATGTGTTTAAAATTCTTTCCCCCTCAATTATATTGTACCAACATTTCTACGATGTGTTTTAAATTCTGTCTCCTCCAAACATGCGTATAATATTTATTGCCAAATATTTATCTGTATTTATCTCCAATCATTTACCTGTATTATTATTGGTAGAACTACTGCCAATAGCAACTTAATCAAAAGAAGCTAGAGTTGATTCCATGTTGATTCCATATAATCCAGTTATATATGTGTTTTGTAATGTGTTCTGCTGTAATAGTAAACTCAGATCTATTTTCTTTGTCATTTGTAAAATGTTAAGGGTATAAAGTCATTTGGGTATATATAAGGGTATAAAACCTTTGCACAAACAGATTAAGTATTTTTTTGTCTAAGATTTTGTTGCAATTTTTCATTTCATCTAGTTAAAAAACTTTACATAGTTTTTTTATATTATCAAACGTTTTACATTTATCTCTATCTTTATTTTTCACATTATTATCATTCCTAAAATTTAACTTATTTCATTACATTTAACTTAGTGTATTAGAGATGTCACGAATAGTAATTTTTCTGAATACCAAATACTGAATATTTGACAAGGCGTTCGGCCGAAGCAGCAAATATTCGGAGACACTTAGCTATTTTGATTGCTCAAACCTACTTTATTGAATTGCATATGTAAATTTGGCTGTAGATATTTTTGTTTCATTTGTGACTAGGTTGTCTAGCAGCATGCATTACTTGTTGAATATTACATCAAATTGTTTTAACTATAGTTATTTATAAAAATACCATACTCCTCAAACAATTTTAGAAGTCACTATAGATAGATAGAGCACAAAAAACTCCAAACTTATTAACAAACAAATAATAAATGATATCTTCAAACAACTTAATAATAAATGATATCTTCACAACAACCTGAAATTAAAGCCTAAACTAATTTCAAGGGATTTGTTAAAACACAACAAACAAAAAAAGCATAAATGTTTCGAGAAAGATAAAGTCAGCGAAAGGTCTTCTCAGTGAAAGGATGCTTGACACCGATGAACCATCACCGTTGACTATACCTAATAAACACACCAACATCTATTAAACGTCAAAACAACGTTCGACAAAACTCAGCATAAAATAAAAGATTACATTAAGATTAAGTCAAAGATTACTAATAAAATTAATAAACTCATAAACAAATATTTTGGTTCACTGTTTTCTTTGGTTTATGCATAATCAAAAGTCTTCCTAGAATACCGTCAACCGCTTATTCATCTTGCACCTGTTTCTGCAACATCATCTTCTACCTGCGTATCCTGATCGTCTGGTTTCGTAACCTGATTTGTAACCGCAAAAAACTAGGATAAAATAGTTTAAATGTAAATTCATAAATCAATATTGGAATTAAACAGAACCACTTTACATATAGAGGATTTTCTGAATAAAAGTTTCCGAAATTTCCTGTACCATCTATGCTTATTTTTGACATTAAAAAATTAGTAACGTCGCGACATAACATATGGAGAGGTTTTTACCAGCTCTGTTCCACCAATTTTCTTTAGCAAATGTAACCAAATTAAACTAAAATGAAACTAAAATAATAAAATAAATATTTAGTTATTAAACCTCTTGATTATTGATTATTGTGACACAATCATAGCGTTTACAAAATGAATTTAAATTGTTTATAAAACGTGCGAAAAAAGTTCTTGCAGTAGGACTTTCATAACAAGAGATTAGCAACTTATATTTTTTAACTGTGTCAATGTGGCCATCAATAGTTTCTAAAACATCGGAGTCCATTGATTTATTAGCATTTTGGAAGATAGATTGTCGCGATACGACTGCCATGAATTAAAATGGCGCACCCGACACTCGTTTATTCTTTATTTATCAGTCGTTTTGCTTTTAGTTGTTGTAAAAGAAGTGAATCTTGAAAACGCATTTAGTCTATTTTAATTACTTAGCCAATAAATAATAATTTTTTAATAAGTTTTTTTTTTGTATTTTAATTATTATATTTAAATCGCGTGACTTAAGCAGTCATGAACAATGGCTATATTACTGTATTATAATATAATTAACGTCGATCAAACGTTTACAATAAAGACTTGTATTAGTTAATATTGTAAACGTTTGATCGCCGTTTAATAAACGTATATATTAAAAGATTTAAAGCGTGGGTTTTAAATCTATAAATGTTTACGTTTAATTAAGGTCGGTTAAAGGTTTACAATATTAACTAATATAAGTCGATATTCTAAACGTTAGATCAGCGGTTTAGTAAACGTATATATAAAAAAGTTTAAAATATATATTTCAAATCAAGCGTCGATTTTTAGTCAATAATAGGTCGCTAAGCGTTTTATCCATTTTTCGACCAATTTCGACTAAATATTGACCAATCCTAAACCAATCTGTGTAACACCAGTGATAATTAAGCTTCACTTCGTAAGAAAAAAAGAAATGAAAACAATATAAAAAAATCTCTAGAAAAAATATGCACACATATAAAGATGCTTTAAAAGTCCAATTGCAAATGATGTTACCTTTTACATAAAACTGTTTGATTAAATTTAAAATAAAAAGTTTAAAATAAAAATTTAAATAGTTAAGTGGCTAGATGTCAAAATATTGATGAAAAAAATAAGTTCTAAATCTAAATCTAAAAAAATAGTTGTCGTATTAAATAATTTTTTTTTTTTAATTTTTATATAATTTCGCTTCTTTTGAGACCCAACTTGACATATCTTGGAAAAAAAAGTTTAAAAAAAAGGAAGTTTAAACATATTTAATTCAATTTTTTTTCAAAATGTTAGGAACCCTTTAAAAAGTAAAATTAACTTAGCAGTCTCTAAAACACATGCACAGCTTGCAATTTTTAAAAAAATTTTGAAACTATTTTTTAATAATTGCAATTTCACAACGGTAAACCGTATGAAATTGCAATTTATTTTATTAAACAATTTTAAACGAGTTGTGATCAGCACACGCAAAACATTATCTTAACAGAGCATCATAAAATCTTATTATTTGCCGGTGTCAGGGTACGCAGTGAATGGTTATTTTTGGAAGTATGTATAGTTTGTAAGGAATTCGTAATTATTAGCTATAGTCAAACAATGAAAAAATTTTATCATAGCTTACCACCAATACATTTTAAGTATCAAATATGCCAATTATTTGTTAAAATAAAAAATAAATAAATTTCCTTAACTGGTTTCTGTTTTTATACGCTTTTTTCGTTACAATCTGGTATTCGGTATTCCCTTGAATAGTTTACAATATTCGAATATTAAAAAAAGTAGCCGAATAGGTCGAATACCGAATAGTCACCGAATAATCGTGAGATCTCTAAAGTGTATTCAATTATCTCATGATTTGTACCTAGTTCACTGTCATACAATTTTTTCTTTGTTGTTAGCATTCTCAATATTATCAATTGGAACTGGTATCAATTCATTTTTTTGAAGATCCAAAGATACGTTATTCCATATATATATATATATATATATATATATATATATATATATATATATATATATATATATATATATATATATATATATATATATATATATATATATATATATATATATATATATATATATATATATATATATATATATATATATATATATATATATATATATTATTTTATCTTCTTTAAAACTTTAGGCACCCATTTCCATAATCCCGTATTTTTTTGGCATTTAAGATATCTAAATTCAAATAAGGATAGTTTCCAAAGCGTAATTGCGATAAATGGAGGAAAGGGGATAGCTGAAGGGGAAAATGATGGATGGGGGAGAAAATTTCAGAGCTTTTTATTTCCAGGCTCTAATCAAGCCAATTTTTTGAAAAGCATCATTATTTGACATAGGTATAAATGTTTAAACTCTTTTTAGTTTGCTCAATGTTTGGAAGTTAGATATCTCAAATACCAAAAAATGTTGTATCCTTGATAGAGATTTCATGAACTGGAGTTCTATTCTAACTGAAGTTCTATATAAGAATTTTGATATTTCTCTTGTATTGAAAAAAAAATATCAGCTTTAAAAACGCAAGAAACTACTTGAAATGGAAATCCGATTTTAAAATCGATGAAATATGTATCATCCGAGTATACATCCGAATATATATGGCTTAAATTAATTTAGAAGTGCATTTATTTATCAAAGTTGAAATCAAATCAATATATATATATATATATATATATATATATATATATATATATATATATATATATATATATATATATATATATATATATATATATATATATATATATATATATATATATATATATATATATATATATATATATATATATATACATATATATATATATATATATATATATATATATGTATATATATATATATATATATATATATATATATAGAGAGAGAGAGAGAGAGAGAGAGAGAGAGAGAGAGATTATAATAATAAAAATAATATTATTATTATTATTATTATAATAGAGATAGGAGAGGTAATTCCAATAACAGGTTATAGATTGTACAATTGTTTTGTAAAAGTCCAAAAAAAAAGAAAAAAGATATTCAGAAACTTTGCGAGACTTGTTATAAGTTGAAAAATAATCTCTATGTTAGGAAGGGGGGGGGGGAGAGTATAATAAGCGCATTATGTAAGTGCCATTAACCCAGCGTATATAACGTACTTACGTGCTAGTGGATTGATCACTAATATAACTAAAAGGAAAAAAAAAATGCGTAAAAAACGCTCACACAATAAACGAAACCCACACACGAAACATAAATTGCTGGAATGTGACGCAGCTAAATCACTACGCTTCTGTATCAGTAAACTTTTAAAAAAATAGGTAATTGTGTATTCCTAGTTTAAAGATAAAAAAAGAAGTATAAAAAAAAAATAGATAGTATAAAATATCAAGAACTTTATATGCACTAACAAACAAAATTTATAAAACTAAATACAGTGTCTATATCATAAAAGTATAACAAACATAGTTAAAGCGCTAAAGATTGGAAGATAAAAAAGGTGAAAAGTATTTGTACTGTTAAAGTGAAATCTAATTAAGCAGGTGCTTTGCAATCACGTCTTTTCGGGAACACTAAGATCTGTACTGACGCTATTCGTCAGGAAAGTATATGTAGATATTTTTGTAAATGGGAAATGTATGGGATCACGAGATATAAAGTTAGCAATACATACATACAAACATCTACTATGATAAATATATTAAACATGCGTTTAATATATTTATCATATATTTAATAAAAAGTAAATTATGCCTGGTATGCCCCGATAATTACCCAAAAATCTGAAAAAATCAAATTTAAAGAACGTCTCAGGTTTACATTATGAATAAAATATAACTTATACCATAAGTTTTATATTATTTAATGTTTTTTATCATTTATAAATATCAATGAAATTCACAACTGTTCATAAGCATCTTAATCATAACTGCTTTCGATATTGGATTTTTTCCTCTTTCCATTTAAATACTAATTAGGTTAATGACCTTGCTTTCTTTCTGGTTAAACATCCCCTTCCAGTAAACCTTTACTTTCCATATTAATAAATCCTTAAATTTCATTTAAATTCCAAACAATTAGTTCTGAATCTAATTAAAAAAAGTATTATTGTAAAACACCAACATATTCTGAAATATGTATTTTAATTTATTATAGGATTATAAGTCGTATCCTTGAAAAGAAATTACCGGTCGATTAAAACTCAAAAGACGCATATTGCATCCGGGCTATCGTGACAATCGACGTAGTGGGCCACAAAAATTCTTTATATTTATCTCTGTAAAAAAACACTGGCTAATAGCTGACTCCAGAAGAATATATCTTCTTCAAAAAAAGGGCGATCGTTGTCCGAAATTTTTCATACTCTCTAAATAAACAGCTATAATGAACGATTTGAAAGGGCAGCAAAGAAAAGGTACACATTTGATTGTACAACGTTAAGGAAAAGCTAGCATTATTGGAATGCTAGTTATGAATTAAAGATCGATATAAAATAGTACGCTATACAAAACTACATTAAATAAAAAATTTACCTTCATATTATCTAAAGTTTTGAAATAAGTTTTTATCTAAATTGTCTTTGATGTCTTAGTTAATGATTGCAGTTAAAACTTTCATTAATACAGTTAGAAAATGCAGTTTAAGTATTGCTAATTAAAGTAAAGCACATAGTATTGTCATAGTTTTGGTGATCAAATCAAAGTATCATAACTATTTTATGATACTTTGATTTGATCAAAGTATCATAAATTTTATGTATATAACATATTCTATTAATAGATTTTGTAAATAATTTTTTGATATTTAATTTATGAAACATTTGTAAAAAAAGGAATAATATTTTTTTTAGTTTTCTTGTCATTTTATGTAAACAATGTTCTTATTTCATTTTGCTTATTACTGACAGTCTATATACTTACTAGCAAACTTTTATGTTAATAACACTGTTAGAAGTTTTGTTTATAACTTCAGTTATACTTTATTAATAGTTTTATTACAAGAGCATCATATTGTTACAATATGATGCTCTTATTGTAGTATACTATAAGTATATAATACTATAAGTATTACAATAATTGTAATACTTATGGTAGAACATTATTTACTATATAATATTGTTTATAAAGTTATTTAAAAATTGCAGATTATATTTACTAGATGTAGTTATCAGGGTAGCCATAGCTCCTAAAAATTCCTCCAAAGTCCTATTTTTTCCAAAATCTCCTGTAAAATCCTCTATTATTCTTTAAAAAGTTAAAAATTTGATCTAATCTTCCCTTCTTTTTTTTTAATTTCTTGATGGTAGTATAATGTTAAAAATTCTTGGTGTTCAAATTCTTGGTTTAGTCTAATAAGGTATAAGGTTGTAAAAATTTGCTTTAGCAAATCCACATTATTTAACATAAAATATGGGATCATTGATCTCTGCTCAAACCCCACAAATATGGAAACATGAGCATTAAACCTATAAAAGAAATCCTCCTAAATCTTCTATTTTTCTTTAAGTTCTTTGTAGTTTTGCAAAAAAAATCCTTTAAACTAGATGCTAAATCTCTGCTAAAATCTCCTAATATCCTCATTTCTTATGAAAATTTTATGTGCCCACCCTGTATATGTCTTGAATATATGTTAACATATACACATCTTAGATTATTTGTTATAAATTGCACATCATTCAATTTTTTTGATAAGAAAAAGATCCAACAATCTTTGCAAATTTTTATTTATCATCTATATTATTTGATACAATTTTTTTTGAGTTGAATTAAGTTAAATTAATAATAAGTAATTGTTTTATTGTAGTTTTGGTTCAGCGAGCTAAGAAACGCAGAGCAAAATTAGGTAAAAGGCGAAATAGGACTACTCAAAATCCACTATCTGTTGAAAATAATGATAG